AGGTAAGAATGGTAGAAACTTGCCTTGGTGAAAATTATTATTGTGTAATGTATCTCTAAAGGTTTGGGTTTAGGCTTTGTCCTTTTTTCTTTAATTTTATTATTGGTGCTGAAGTTAGTTGTTTTTGGCTTAAAAATACTGATGTAACTTTTCAGTTATGTTTTATTCCCATCAGAATTGTAAATCTGTTTTAAATAATACAAAACAACTGCAAATTTTGCTTTTAATATTGAACCACAACTAGTGACACTGATGATGAACCTAACTCTTGCATTGAGAAACATTGAACAGAAATTAGTAAACAAAGGAAAGTTGATATTTATATATAAATCTGTATACAAGATATTCGTTTATATTTATTTAAGATTTCTTTACAAATAAGTAATAAAATTGTCTAAACAAAAATACACTATGATAATTATCACACTATTACAAAGAAGTTTTTCAGGCTTAAAATATAATAAATTGAGTATCTTAGGCTAACAATTTTTCAGCAAAGAACTGTAACAAGACAATAATTAAATTAGCACTTTGAAACATTGTTAATTTAGTCCAGTGACACTTTAGCATTCAAGATTAAGGAAGATCATGGCCAAATAAAAGCTGCTTTATTACATTAATTAAGAGACTGGTAAATGTGGAGTATTGGGCCAAGCTTTTCTGACCACGTACAATACTTGGAAGTGAAAGAAAGTAACTTAAAAGATGAAATGATAAAAAATGTGTGAATACAATATACATCTTCAGAAGGTTCTAGATGGGATAAACAAACTTAAAGAATGGTCATGTTATACAAAGTGTATTCCTTTTTTGTGTGTATATAACTGTATACTATGTTTGATTTATATTCTGTCAGCTATGGTAACTGGACCAGTGTCATGCAACCAGAAAATACTAATAATCCAAGAGCGGGGTGGTTATCGTACAATGTTAAACGGTACATATTATAGATTTAAAAGTATTAAAGTATGACTTTTTTGAATTAGTTGATAAATGTTGTATTACTTTATATGTTGTGATTTTGGTGTTAAACATTTACCATGATATTAGTTTTATAATAATTATAAAAAACACCACATTCATCATAAACAAAGCTCTAACATACATTCCTGTGATACAGACGACAGTGGCCTAAAAAAAAGGCCTTAGCATAGAGACCGAGGCTTTGAGCAGCTTATTGCAAAGTAAAAACTCTTCAGTGTCTGTGCAGCCTAAGATGCTAATGAAACCTCTGTTATTTTACAACTTTGGTTACAGAATTAGAAGAAAGTGGTTAGTGTATATATATTGATGTTTCATATTTCTTTATAAGCAACTTGTGGTATCTCACAAATGTGTGGGCATACCATAGGAATTAGTTTTAGCTTTTTCAAAGTGTTCCTTTTTTAAGTACTGCATTTACTCAGTACTTTATAAATAACGTTTTGAAAAATGAAAAACTAAAATTGGTTGTAACTTATGAATGTTGAGAAAAGTTTATAACTAATTTGATAAAGTTTCATTTTGATAGCTAATTTTTAGATTGGAATTTATCAATATTAGTTTATGGAGTTTGTTTTTTAAGAGCTAAAGTTTAGCTGATAATAGTGTTATGTGTTATTTACTTTTTGTATTAAGGTCTTTAGTTGATTTTATAATCATGGTGATATTTAGAATTACTGAGATGCTCTTTTGACTTATTAGGCATAGGAGTTTGAGTAAGAGAGCAGTAAAACAGTGTTAGTTGAAATTAAAAGCAAAGCTTGAATACTTAATCTAGGTATCTTCACTGATAGTAGTGAGCACAAGTTTTGAAACAGGAACTAAACTTGGTATACTAGATCCTTATGATCTTGAAATCAGATTTTAAGGTCACTTAGGAAAGGTCATAGCTTGTTTTTATTGAATACTTTAAAGTGGTTCAAGAAGTTTTTCGGTATCTTAAAGCACCAAAGCATTCAGTTAAATTGAATTGAATTGATGACCCTTTTAACTCTTAAAAAATTAAAAGTAAATGAATAAATCAAGAACAGTCTTAAAGGTATGTATGTACAATATATATATATATATATCTACTCAGTCATTACTGAGGATGTTTAGATATTATTAAAACCTTGACTGCTGCAGAAGTTTTGGATCAGCTTTGAAGATTATCAGTAGGATTGGTGTTAGAGGTAGTTGTGCATTTGATGGTGCAGATATGTTGGCCAAATTTGAATATGGTTGTGTTTTTGCAGTTTAAAAGGTACCAATTTGCACATAACTAGTAGTATATATCAATAATGCTATTAAAAGACTTCTTGATAATGAAATATACACAGCTACCAGATGGGACTACTATTTAGACCGTTTCTCTGTTTTTCAAGGAGACGATGTATCTATTTGATCTATTTCTTGGATCTAAGAGAATGTACCTTAAAGGTATAGATGATCATTTTTATACATTCATATGTATGCGTGCGTATACAATGATTTTGGCTTCACCATATGTTAACTTTGGCAGTTACTTTTTTAAATTTATGTTATACTTATAAGTCATTATATATAGAGTATTACTTAGTATTTTTAGAAATCTAAAGTTTTCTAGAATCACTATGCCTATTCAGTTTGTTGAAGCTGTAAGTGTAAGACTAAATTCAAAAATAAAATTTTACTGTTACGTATATCACCTACTGTTCGCTATCTTTTGTACAAGAGCTACGTATTTTTAATGCAAACACTATTAGTTTACATTGTTACTGAGTAAAATAAGCACCTAAAAATATTAAAACCACTTTCAGTTCAGTTGATAATGTGATATTCCCCCCAGTACATGGATTTCTCTCAGAGTAGCCTGTTAGAGCCTGCTGACTGAAGATTCGAAGGATACCAAGTTACAGAGTGTGTGTGTGTGTGTGTATGTCTCTCCGAATTCCAGCAGGTTCGTCATGAAGAAAATTTTGAAATGAAGAAGGTTAAGCACAATATTTACTAACACACAACAATCACAAAAACAAAACCGGGGGTAAGTGGGTCTTTGGTGAGTTTGTTGGATTGGCAAAGGAGAGAAGGGAATTGAAACCTTTGTGGGATCTCTTTCACTAGTACAATTTGTGCCTCCTCCCCCAATAAGGTAAAAGAAAACTATAAAATCTAAAATGAAAACAAAGCTTAATACAAAATAAGAGCAAAAACAGAGCATTGCACTGCAAGACAAAATGAAAATTATAATTAAAGTTGTAAACAAAAGAGTTAAGGTCTAACAAAATCTCTAAGTCTGCTAATAGTTTGAATAACGAAAAACCTGTTAAATAAATGAGAACCTAACTTTTAATGCAAAACATAATGATGTCACAAAAATTCAAATTACACATGTCATACCTCACATAAAGCCTTCGTCAAATATGACTGAAGTGCAAGGGTGGGCAAACACCAAGCCATTACCTGATTCACTGACATAAAACAATCTTCTGTTTTGTTGCATCATGAGCTATTTTATGTAAGTAAACAAGGTTAATTGCCAATTAGTTAATAAATCCATGTCCTGGGTAGATCTAGAATGGGGAGTAGTTAGATGTGTTCATTTGAGCAACTTTATGTCTAGAATGAACTAAAAGAAAAACAGAAACTTTGAAAAAGTTGCATATTAGCTAATGGAGTACAAAACACATGGCACTGTTTTCTACATATTCACAATCCAATAGGACTTTCGTTTAATACCATAACTCATCAATTGGTGTACAAAGAATAAAAACAGCTCCTGTCATCATCGATGCAGGCTAAAAGGACACATGTTTCAGGACAGAGCTCAGATATTGAAGTCTATTAAATAAATCACCAGTAGTATTAAATATTCAAATACATATATATCTGATATTGATCTTTTCAGTACTTGGGCTCCATTGATATTTTGTTGTTATTCGCTTTTCTTTTTACTGCCACTAGCTCAGAATAGTAATTGTTGTAAAATTGTGAAATGACTCAAGTTAAATGACTTAATTCGTGAAGTTTTAAATCAAATGAACTTTCATAAGAAAAGAGAAGATACAGTATTGTTTATACACTATTGGATTTAACAGATCTAGAAGACCAACAAAGGAATCAATCCATAATTGTTGCCCAAAAGACCAAATTTGTAAATTTTAAGCTTTGTTATGATGACAGAATCAGTAAGATATTTGTTTTAAAACTAGCAGCGTTGCCTGTTTTTTTTGGGTGGGTGGGGGCTATTCTGTTTGTTTCCACATTCCATATATGAGGTTCAACCACCTTAACAAGCTTAGGTTAATCCTAAAATCCATATACTAAGCTAACAATACAAACTAATGTAAGTTTTATAATGAAACTGTTATGATAAAATTAGATTTATTAAAGAATAGAGTATACGTGACTTACAGAACACGTAAACAGAAAGTTGAGAACTACGTTAGAAGAAATATCGGGTACTTGCATCTGTCTAGGATAAGGAAGGCACCTATTGTGTTTTGTAGTTAATTGTGGAGTATCAAAACAGAACAATATAATACAGACAGTTCTGGAGATTCGTTATGAAAGGTTATTCAGAGATAAAGAAAATACTTCAAATGCTGAGTTTTATCCCACCAAGAAAACTAACTCCATCTTAGCCTAATTTCTGCCTAAGTCTGGTTACTGTTAAACATTATTACTATTAGAATGACACGCTTTATAATCGTATAAGTTGGTTAAGACGACGATCTCTATGAATAATATTACCACATTCATTACAATCTGTACCGTATTTGTAAATAATTATATTTTTTTACAAAATTACACTAGAAAAATTAATATAGGTTGACCTTTTTTTATAAACTAAAAAAAGTAACAAACAGATCAGAAATATGAAATTATGGATTTTTATCGTTAAATGACTTCGTCCAGTCACTCAACATTTTAGTATCGAACTTGTTACTTCTTAAAATCATAACGCAAAGACTCATCCTGAAGTAACATTTTCTTGTATATTTTCCCACCCACATTTCAATTTAAAAGACAAGGTAAATGATATAAATATGTTAATTGTTGTTTTGGCAGCGTAATCAATATATACCGTGAGAGGGCGCCTTATTCCAACACTAAAGGTTGTTGAGAAAAAACGGAATAGTTGTTGAGAGATCGTGGTATGTGTTGCTCATTTGATAATGTAAAACATTGAGGAGTAATGTGTTAAATTAAATCCAAGTTTACGTATCTTAAAAAAAGCATATTATATTATTAGACATGTCATAATTATTATTAGTAGGGGGAAGCAAGCCATAAACGAGTGAGTGAAATTAAACGTCAAGTTCACATCATCATGCGCATCAATACATTTTTGAATTGAAAGTTAAAATCTACCATCTTGCGCCGAATGTTAGTAGTACTAGTAGCAATATTAAATTATAATTATTACCTTATATTTTAGCATGGGTCTTGTCAACATGCAGTATTGATGAAGTAGATATTGAGTATTACCAATACTATATATGTTAGTGTTGTTGTTCTCAACAACAACATACAGTAATGGTGAAGTAGATACTTATTTCATTAGTAATATATTTTACCATAGAATAATGTTAACATGGGTCTTGTCAACATGCAGTATTGATTAAGCAGGTATTTTATTATTACTATAGAATATAAAGTTGAGTACAATATAATAAAATTATTTTAATATGAATATCGGCAAGTCACGTAACAACCACAGTAGATCAATAAGAACCACAGTTTGAGATTAACATTTTGTAGGTAGTGTGATGCCATATATCTATACACTTAGATCATAGAGATGTGTTCAGTATAGGGATATAAAATTTCCAAGACTGGAATATCCCTTATACTTAAAGGTATTGGAAGACAAAAGAATATGGATCAACTTTGGGAACCAGAACTATACAGAAAGAGACCTCCAACAAGCTGTATGGTAGCTATGGTAAGAAAATTGGGGTGTCCTGTAACAGGTGAATATTTGCTAATACAAAGATCAGTGGCAAAAGCTGTCCACATGCCATAAGCAACAATACAAAATATAAGTAAGAAGGATCTCTTCTTCGTGAAGCAAGCAAAAATGTTTGGGGTTCATAAAGATATTGGTTCCAGTTATACCTATTGTTCAATCATCAAATACCTGAAGCAGCTGAAGAGTGAAATGTATATTCATACTATTCTATGCAAAGACTTACTGGTTAAGTCACTGGATGCAGTGCCTGTACATTTCTATGTAATTGGACTGTTGAAATCTGCAATGGGAAACAAATGTTCTCATAAACCAAATTATGAAAACATGCAGCGATTAGTGGTGTGTTTTGGACATTAAAACCTTACAATGGAGCCTTATGTAATGAAAACTGTGCTGTAGGGCTATTGTCAAGATGCATGATCATCAGGTAGAGTATGACCAGATATGGCAAAATGGTCTGTGATGAGGTGATAAAGCTTCCAGTTTATTTTATTACAATGTACTTGACGTCTATATAGATATTAGCTGAAGTAGTAGTATATGCCAAAGAAACTCATCTGTTTCATGATTTGGAAAATATAATGAAACTTTTAATGTTATAAAATTACCCTCTCATGGCAAAGAACAAGATAATAAACATTTATTTTATTTCCAAAAGCAAGGAAGTCTGCTGTACTGTTGCATTTTATTAATTCAAAACTTGCATAATTATAAATTATTCTATTCATAGTATTGTATATTAACTAATAAAGTATAGGTCCCAGTTTAAACAGAAACTTAAAAACTACTGGTGGAAATGAAACCAGTAATAATGGAAAGTGGGAAAAATAACAGTCCCCCCCCAACCTCTCACAAACCATACATCAGAGTTATTCTTTATAACTTTTAGGTAATAAACATTTTCTGCACTTCATATAATTACTGTTGACAACCTTACTAGATATCAACTAAAGATATCTCTTGTAGTGTAGATGTTGATACTGCTGTTAGGAATTATTGGTTAGCCTTAAGCTTAAATCTAAATTTTAATTTTTCAGGTCCGTTTTTGACTAGTACTAAATTTTAGAAATACCAACAGTAATATAAAACTTAAAGAAAAAGTAAAGTATCATTCCTTTTTTAAGTATACTTGTTAAGCAGATTTAACTGCAAAACCATTTAAATGTTCTACTGTTGACACTTTTCTTGGTTGAAAAGGAAGAGTTAGAGAAAGGATTTTGGAAATGACATGTATTTACCTGTCAGTTTAACTTCTGGTTTCTGGGATTCATAGGTGTGGACAATCTGAAAAATTTATTTCTAATACCAGTACTGAGTATGAATTTAGGAAGGGATTTTCTTACAACTGGTTTGATTTCTGATAAATAAGGGTTCACTTCTTTCTGGTTGTTTATCTTAGCTCTGAAATCTTGGAATCACAATAGTAATTATTAAGTTCAGGCTTTATATGATTTGTGAGGCCAGGTGGGTAGGACGCTCGCCTCTCAATCTGCGGGTCGTGGGTTCGCACCCCCTGTCCCACCAAACATGCTTGCCCTTTTAGCTGTGGAGGCGTTATAATGTGACGGTCAATCCCACTATTCCCTCTAGTCTTACACTGCTAAATT